AAAACGCTATTTTTCCAGCATAAATATATCACCATACACTTACTRAGTTTACAAGTGTAAACAAACTTAGGACGCCAAACGCGATCCATTTTCAAATGAAGTTTAGATTTTCATTGTTTAACGTTAATCTGTCTGTATTGTTCTTGAGTGTACTTATGATTTCTGCAGTGTACCACGTGTATTATACTGACAATTTTCGAGCCCGGTGCGTTGTTTTCACAAATCTAATTCCTTATTAAGAATTTCCAGTTTTCTGCAGAAGAGCTTCTTAAGGTTAGACAGCTGTATCTTCTGTGGCGAAAATATCTTCAAAATAATTGATTAAATATATTTGTTTGTTGTGTGAAAAAAAGGGAAAATTTAAATTGACTTTCTTAGGGTTTCCCCTTGTGGATTGAGATAAAGAACAAAAGAACTTTTTGTCTAGTTTTGTTTAGATCAGAGCATCGAGTGCAGACCTTTTAGTMCAATATCCCAAGGTAGCTTAGATTACTAAGAAAATTTCTTACAGTAAAATTAATGGGTTTTCGTATTATTTTTCGACAGCTGAAGAAAATCAGCTTAAAMACTTGGTCGAAAAGAACCTGGGACTACACTCACAAATAAAGAAACTGAAGATGGATTCCACAGAGTCAAAGCACGAACAGCGAAGGTTAGAGAGAGATTTGAATGAGTTGAGAGACAGGCTACGAGAAGCCGACAAAAAATTCAGCTCAACGAAAGACGATAAAACGAGAACAGAAGATGAACTTGGTGCAGCGAAGAAACGAATGGGATATCTGGAAAAGGAGTTGAATGACGCAAGAAATGACATCAAAGTAAAAAATGAGACAATTCGAAAACTTAACCAGAAGAATTCGGAAATTCAAGCTGCTTTGTCCGAGCGCGAGGAGGAACGCCAAAGGGAGGAAAGGCTGAGAATGGAAAACATGAAGTCTCTGGATGCGCTGAAAATAAAGATGGAAAAAATGGAAAATGATGACAAGAAGCAGAAAGAAAGGTTGTTTAGCCTGAAATCTGCTTGTTCTGAAGCGAACGAAGCGTACGAAATCGTCAAGAAGCAAAACTTGAATCTACGAAATGACATGCAGCAACTGAAGAAGAAACTAGCCAGCAGAGACGTTGAAGTTGACAACAACAGGCGGGAAAAAGAGAAGCTAGAAGAACAGATCTTGAACGTTTCTCGTACCATTGATGATATCCGTAAGTACAGTGCTAGAGACGAGAGTTTATCTCCTGATTCTGCGCTTGGGATCTCTATCAGCTCACTCACCGATCTTGGATCCGGACCCAATAGCCCATATTCAGATGTTTCGGACACTATCTTTGTACCTGGAGACGAGGAAATGAAGTTTATGCCAAGAGACCAACAAGGTCTTTTATGCAAGATGCCGACCATGATCGAAAACTTCCGAGCCGTTGTCCGTGAGAATGAAGTCATGAAGTCAAAACTAGTTGAGATGTTTAACAACAAGGAAAAGATGAACTCCCAGTTGCAGTACTACTCGGGTCTTAGTGACGACCTTCAGAAAGAGGTCGGCGAAAAGGAAAAGTTTGTCATCGAGCTACAACACAAGGCGAATATTTTGGAAGAAGCGTTGCATGGATCAAAAACAAAGCTTGGAAACGTTGAGAGAGAATTTGCTGCAGTGGCTACCGAAGCAGATCTGGTGAAAACAACTTTGCAGGTTCGTGAAGAAACTATGGCTGAACTCAGAGACAAAGTTGAGCTCTTAGAGGAGAAAGAGAAGGCGTTGGAATTGTATTCAAAGTCGATGGCAGAAAAATACAAAAACGAAGCTACCCAGAAAGAAGAGGTTGAAAATTTGAACCAAAGTTTACATGACAAAACACAGGAACAGCAAAAACTATTAAAGAAATTAGAAAAGAAATTGTCCGAGTATTCTTCAAAGTCGAGAAGAGTTTCCGAGCCAGAAATTAAAGCTTTCACAGCACCAGTAGTAGAAAAACCAAAGCAATCAGATGTTGCTATGGTGACACTCGAAGGCAAGCTGGACGACATCATGAACTACAGCGATGCGTTGGAGAACTCGTTGACAGGTGTTGAGATGGGCTACCATCGCTTGCAAGCTGAGAATGAGAGGCTACGAAGAGAAATGGTTAAAAAAGAAGACTATGAGGAGCTAGAAATGAAACTTAAAGAGCAAGAAATGTCCTTCCACGAACAACAACAAGACAGAGAAAAGCAGATCAGTGAGCTGGAAAAACAAAGAGAAGTTTTAGAAAAAGAAAACAAAGAAAACGAAGAGGCTATTATAAGTTTAACCGACCGAGAGAAAGAATTAATAGACGAGTTAAAAGCCTTGAAAGAGAGCTTTTTACCACTACAGCAAGCAAACGATATGATGAAAACTGAAATTGAAGCTCTGAAGGAAAGCGTGAAGCAAAACGAGGAAAATCGAGTGAAAATCGAAATGGATCTCAAATCTACCAAAACAAAAATGTGTGAGATGGAAATTACCAACGAGGCCTATAAAGAGGAGAATGACAGACTAAGGAAAGATGTTATTACTTTATCAGAGGAAAAATGCGAGGTTGAATGCAAGGTTTCTGAGGCAGAAAGGCGTGAAAGGAAGTTGAATGAGCTGATTGACCAGGAACGAGCACAGCATAAAGAACTGAGAGCTGAACACGAATCTGCACTAAGCATCTGCGATGTGCTTCAAAATGACTTGTCCAAAGCTAAGGACAACATCAACAGCCTAGAAGCTGAGCAGGACAGGACACAAAAAGCTAAAAATGAGATGGAGCAAAAACTTATGGATCTTTCAAGTCAGAACAGTAGCGTAAGAGACGAGCTGAATGCCGCCAAGAAGGATCTGAACGAACTGGAAGAAAGGTACAAAAAAGCTGTTGATGCTGAAGAAATCTTGAATCAGAGGTTAAGCAAGTCATCTATGGAGAACGCTAGACTTTCTACCGCTTATGATCAGAGTCAGAGAAGAAGAAACGAAGCTGAACGAAATATCCTTGATGCTACTGCCAAAAACGACGACTTGGGCGTAGATTTGGAGCGAGTACGCACCGAGAAAGCAAGCCTGCTGAAAGAAATCGCGCAGAAGGAAGAAACCATAGAAGGAATGGAAGCAAAAAAGAGTGAGCTTGAACAAGATGCTCAAAAACTCACCAACGAGTTGTACCTCAGTACAAGAAAAGTTCTCAGCCTACAGCTAAATTTGGAATCACTCCGAAACGAAGTCAGCCAAATGGGCAAAGATCTACGACGTCTGATACTTGGCGCAGTAGGTCGCGAACCTCAAGATGAAGCGGAGGAGAAGTCAATGGAAGCTGATCTGGAAATGAATCTTTTTGAGAATGAAGTTGTTGTACAAGCTCTGAGGCAAGCTATTAAGGCAACAGAGAAAAGCTTGGATCAGATTCGACCTGAAGCAATGGTGTCTGAAGTTGAGAACAAAAACTGTGAAAAAGACATCGACTGTGTTCATAGAGAATTTGCTTATCTAAAGGTCCAACTGAACAGTTTTAAGAATTTCTGTCAGAAGCTTAGTGATGAGACGAAGAGACTGAAAGAAGACGTAAAAACTAAAGAGGCTCTTCTTCAAGATGCAAGAGAACAGTACGAAGCATTGAAAGAGGAGAATGGCGATAACAAAGAACGTATCATGGCATTGCAAGCTAAGTGTACAGACCTGGAGGCACTGTCCGCTGAATATGAAGAGAATGCAGAAACAGCACATAATGAACTCGTGCAAGCAAATCAACATATTGTAACACTTGAAAGCAACATTGCAAAACTGGAACAGAAGAAAAACACTTTGGAAAAGGAACGACTGGTCTTGCAAGAGAGAATGAACAATCTTGAAACAAATCAAAGAGCGTCGAAGGACGAGAGTAGAAGTGACAAGAAAAGAATCGCGTCTCTTGAAGTCGTGTACAACGAGAAGCAAGGCTTGGTTCGCGATTTGGAGATTTCTGAAGGAAACTTGGCGGAATTGAGGATGAAGTACGATGATGTGGTGAAGGATAAGGAAGAGATAAGAGCTGAGCTAGCAACAGTTAAGGAAGAGATGAGGCAACAAGGAATGGAACTGAAAAACAGCAAGAAAGACGCGACGAACTTCAAGAAGCACATCATAGTTGAAAGAGAAATGAGAACGAGAGTCGAGCAAGATTTGAATGAGCAAGTGGAAGAGCTTAAGACTGCCAAGAGGAGTTTGAATGCCCTGCAGCGTACACACGGGAAACTCGAAGAGGAGAAGGAGATTTTGGAAGAGAAAGCCAAATTACTTGAAGAAACTGCTCAAACGCTTAAAAAGGAGCTTGAAGTGCAGGGAGTTGAGTTAAAACGCCTACGAGATTCTCTCACTGATACCAGAAATGAGCTTCAAAGTACAACACTCAGATGTGACAATAGCGAGAGGGAGAAGAAAAAACTGATGGAAGAGTTCATCCATGCTGAAGAACAAGTCAAGAAACTACAAGAAACGTGCAATGACTTGTTAAATGAAAAAGGATATGCTACTGATAAAGTCGTGTCTTTGAATGAAGCTCTAGAATCTATGATTCGTAGCCATGACGACGCGATTGATCATCTTAAACAAGACCTCATGAACGCAAACAAGGATTTATCAGTGACTAAGAACTCGCTCGAGAGAAGCCAAAAACGCAACGAGGAGCTTCAACACGAAATCAAAAACCATGAAGACAAGATCAAATCTGTTGAAGAAAAGAAACAGGAGTTATTTGAAAAATTCTGGGCCACCCAGAACCAGCTGGGTGAGGCAGAAGGCTGTATTGATAACCTGGAGTCGGAGATTAAAGAATTAAAAAGAAAAGTTGCCAACCAATTGAACAAGATCGAGCAACTAGAAGACACGTCTCAGCGAGAACGAGAAGAGAGCGAGAAAGCGGTTGAAAACTTTAACGCAAAGATTTCAAAGCTGAAAACTCAGAACCAAAAGTTGCTGCAAGAGAGGGATAATCTAAAGTCAGCGCTTGATGAATCTACCGATGCCCTCCAAAGTACATCACAGGAATTGCAGCAGACTTCAAGTACATTAACAGAAAAGGAAAAAGGCTCGAGCTATCAGATAGAAAAGCTTGAAAATACCATCGATGATCTGAGGAAGGTATCTGAAGACCAACGTGTGGACTTGCGAAGAACGAAAGAAGCCTTGAAAGATGCCAATCGCGAGAACAAAGATCTAAAAGAGAAATTAAACACGACTGAAGAAAAGCTTGAAGTTTTGGAATCTAGAGTCAAAGAACAGGAAAATGATAACGTAGATGCTCTAGCAGAAGCTCAAGCTAAGCTGAACGTTGTTAGCAAGATGAAAGCATCAAACAGTGGGGAACGATTCGCGGAAATGCAAAGCAGTACTCTTCTAGCCGAACATGAGACTGATTTCGATGGAGTCGATGGACCGAATGAAACAGGGTTTGGAGCATCTATCAAAGACGTAGTGGACGCTTTCCATCTAGCCTGCATGTCTTCGTTTAGCGACAACAGATCTCTGCAAGAAAGTTTAGCTCAAACAAATGACGAAAATAACAGGCTCGAAGAAGCACTCAAGAAAGATCGTAACAACTTGGCTGAGATGAAGAGATATCTCCAAGAGACCGAGAAGAAAAAGACCAAACTTGAAGAAGAAGGAAAGCGCTTGAGACGACGACTTGAAACCTTGAAGCAAAAGGCCATAGAAATGGAGCGAAATAAAGACGACGAACTGTGCGAGCTTAAAGGAGAGAAAATGATTTTGGAAAAAGAGCACTGGCAGCTTAAGGAGGAGTTTGAAGAACTCAAAGCCAAGAATAAAGAGACGGAGGAAGAACGCGATAGATACGCTGAGGATTCGAATAACACACGTGTGCAGGTGATTGAAGCGCGCAGCGATATTAAAAAGGCGCAGGGGCATCTTGATGCAATGCAGGAGAAACAGCTCGAAACAAAGAAGAAGATATTTGAACTGGAAGCACGAGAGAAGGGCTTGCAACAACTGATCCAAGAGAAGGAGAAGGAGCTCTGTGCAAGTATAGCGAAGACGGATGAACTAGAAAAGCTATACGAGAACGCCAACCAGAAGAAGACAGACCTTTTCACTCAAGTTTCCAAAGCGGAAGACAATATTGGGAGCCTAGAAAAACAGCTTCAGGACAATAACGAGAAACAGAAAGAACTCAAAGAAGAAGTGAGAGCTTTGAGCTCTAAAGTCAATGAATTGGAACAAACTCTTGAAGAAACAGAAAACGATTTGAACAACATCAAGGAAAAGAATGAAGAGCTCGAGATTCAACGTGGTAGCTTGTTAGCAAGCAACGAGATCTTGAAACACCAGGTTGAGGTTTCTCGACGGGAATACGAGACGCTGAAGGATTCATACGACACGATTCATGAAGATACCGTAAACCTCTCAACCGTTCTGAGCCAAAAATCTATCGAGAAAGACAATCTCGATACAGAATTCAAATGCCTTGCACAAGAGAAAGAACGCTTGCAGGAAGCACTGAATTCCTCAGAGACGCAACTCCGAGAATCAGAGGATAATTTAGTCAAGTCATTCCAGGAAACTGAGAATCTAAAGCGCCAAATGTTGAAGGTACAGAGTACTGCTTGCGCAGAATCGGCCAAGCACCAAGGAGAAGCTGGAAAAATGAAGTCAGATCTAGAATCAACGAAGAAAGAGTTGGTTGAGAAAGAAAGCGATTACACCGAGAAAGTTGCAAAGCTCAAGGCCATCGAAAAAGACAACGAATCCCTTAAGAAAGAACTGAATGATCTGCGCATGCGTGAATCGGAATTGAAACTCGACTACACGTCAGCTAATAGTAAACTACAGAGTTATGTCCTCGAGAGGGAATGTTGGGAAAGAGAGGTCAAGACAGTGTTAAACGAAATCGAGCAACAGAAGAGCGCCAACACTGCTAAGGAGCACAGGTTGGATCGACTGCGCTTGCGCTACGAGCAAGAAATTGGATTCTTGAGCCAGCGAGTATCGGCGTTGGAGCGCGAGCTTAAAATGGTGCAAGAAGCCGCTGAACAGCAAAGACATGCAGACGATATTGCTCACAGACTGAGTCTAGAAGCCAAGGTAAGATGCTTATGAAAATAATTGATTGTGATTGGATAGGGAGTCGTAATACATGGTCAGTATACTATCATACTAGCATGTAGATTATATGGGGCGCAATAAAAAGAGCGCGCTTTTTTTAACGCAACAAAATTGCAGAACTAGTTAAAATAACATTGTCCAATGCCCAGACAAAAATATTACGCATAATTTCGGTCCGCATTTTCCAATCTTAAAGTTTACCTTCAAATTTTAAACAATTTTGTTACTGTCGTTATCTCTAGGACATGGAAATCGACAATTTTAAGATGCGTCTCCAAGCAACGCGACTTCACGCGAGTGACCGCAACACCGTCGTTGATCAAATGAAGAACCAACTAGACGAGAGGACGGCACAAATCAACGAGCTTATGGAACAGATGAAGATATTGAAAGATAGCTATCATCTGGAGCTGGCTAGTGTACAAGCAGAACTGAAGTGTTCACAGATGGAGAATCTATTGAAACTCAAGAAAGGTAAAGTTAGTTTGTTTGTTGTATGGGAGTGATTGTATCTGGTTGACTGATGTAGGTGGCAGCAACTACGCAGCCACTATCTTCATCAGCATGCATTATCCTCGTAATATCATCATCATCATTGTCATGTATCATTATCATTATCATTATATATTACGAGTCATCATCGTCATGTATCATCATGTATCATCTTCATCATGTATCATCATTATGTATAATCGTCATGTATCATCACCATCAGTCATCATCATGTACCATCATCATGTATCATCATCATGTATAATTATCATGTATCATCACCATCAGT